ATAATTAATTAAGTTTCGAGTTATTAAGTATTCTGAGTTTGCATTTTGCACCGAGCTTATGATTCAGAATTTTTCACTGAGCACCAGCATACGTCCTTGAAGACAATATGGCCGGTGAGAACCAGTCCACACACCTGGAGATAGCAGAAACTCCTCTATTCTATCAGATTGTTACTTTAGCTACACGCCGTACCAACAACATCCACACGTGTAGCGTACCAAATGTCAAGGAAGAGGCGTGCCTGTCCACGCCATTGGTAACTGGCCAATTAAACTGGGTACAAATCTTATCTATGTTCGGGGCAGGTCCAGCCCAAGAAGATATCTGGAACCTGGAACTGAAGAAAAACTCAGCTGGACATGAGATGATGTCCCTCTGAATCCCAGCGCTGCCTCACTTGAATCAAACTCAACTGAGAACTGAAGATTTCTCTGGTTTGTTCTTTGGCTTCCAACTAAAGAATCAGGTTGATTAGAAAAGCATCTGTGCTGCCTCACAAACCAACAGGAGAACATATAGGATCGTAAAACACAGCTGAGACTTTAATTCAGCTGTATAGGAACATCATTTTCTAGAGACTCTCACCGCGATGGCTCAGGATGCTTCACGGTTTGCTTGTTCAACTCCTTTTTTTGCTAAAATGACCATTCACAGCAGCACAAATGTCTTTTTGGCATCTCGATCAGCGAGTTTGGCTCTTTTCTCTTTTAGCTAAACAAAACGATTTGGTCTGGTGCAGCTCTAAAAGCGTCTCTGGTAGAGCCGAGGTATCGCTCCGAGCACGAAGGCGGCGTAGAGAGATGACAAATTTTTTTTATTTTTTTTTTTGGGTGGAAAACAAATTAGTGGCAGAAGTGTGAATATGAACAGAAGTGAGCTGCCTCGCAGTCACACTAATGGTGATGTAGGAGCAACTGTGCTTTCTGTATTCACCCTCTGCAGCCTGGCCTGACTTCAGCACAAGTGACACAAACCCATCGCTGCCTTTGTGAGAGAGCACTTGAAACAGATGACAAGTAGGGAAAATAAAATCAGGATTAGAGCAGTTACAGTTTAGTCAAAGCCAGTTATCTATATGTCAGGAGAAAAAAAATGGCTGCTCAAAGCAAAAAGGCCTGTTTAACCATCAAACGCGGTTGTTTTGGCTATAAATAAATTCAAGAGCAACACGCCGCCTAAACCCACACAATCATTCATTCAGTGTTGAAACAATTACAGTTGTTGTTTTTTTTTTCTTTTTTCTCCCCCTTGAAACCTTCCAGCAGCCCCAAGGGGACACGTGGGTTCATCTTGAAAACCTCTGCCCTAGATTCATCTTTTCCATCTTTACTATTTGATTATCGGCGGAAGCTGTAAAAAAAAATGCTTCAACGGCGTCTCGTGTGAAGACGCGGCATCGGATAGATTTAGATCTTCTAAGATATTGTGTGATACGCCATCAGCTTCTTTTTTTAAAAGGCTTTTAGAGGCTGTGGTCGGTGAGGTTCGAGGCTGATGCGGTCTACGTAGCGGTCTCTAATTGAAAAACATTTTTATAAAAAGCCACTATGAGGAAGAATGAATTTTGCACTACGCTCTGTATATGTGAACATGTGCAGTGAGGCTCTACATGAGAGACTGAATGTTTGATGATTCATTCAGAGAAAGAGTACATTAGATTCATCGGGACTCGGGCCTCGTTTTTTTTTTTCCCTCTTTCTCTTCCTTTTTCGTGGCACGCCACTTGAACCATGAAAACTGTCAAAGGGTCTGACTCTTTATCCCTGAATGTACCGTATGTATGAGTTCACACACTCATGCAGCTGTGATGAAGCTCCTTTTCAGTCATTATAAATGTGTTATAACCCAAAGCGCAGCCGAGCGTTAACGTGTTGTGTTTTTTTTTCTTTTTTTTTTTCCTTTCCCCCTCCACAGATGAGACATACAGATCTAATGTGTCTGCGATGTGGAAAATTGCATCTGATGTCATTTCTATGTTCCAGTTTTTAACCCAACTTGTGCACGGCCATGCGGTCGGTCCGTCTGTACGTTAATGGCTACAGTATGGGAGCTGCACTTTGGCTTCCGCTGGGGGCTGATAAAAACGTCCGCGCTCACGGCACCGTGACATCCTTGAAAGCATCTAATTTATGTTTTGATGTTTTATTCAAGTGTTTTATTTCACATCGTCTTAACACGACCGGAGCGTTCTTGTTCATTTAGATGGAGTTTCCCACTAAAAATTAATGCAAAAACAAAACTTCTGCGAAAGATTTCTGCAGGAAATGTGCTTTATGTGTGTCAGGGATGCTTGAAATGCCCTAATTGACTGTGTACCTGAGCTACAGGGCACGAACAGGCCATGTATTTTTTTTTTTGCTGCTTTTCCTACAGAGTAAACAAGCCAGCAGCACCATTACTGTAGGTCCAGTTGAACAGTCTGAGCGCTGCCAAGCTAAAGGAGGTCTGCTCCCCATATGGCAGCTCCTGGGCTGGGCTGATGGCCCCAGGAATTTGAATTTCAAATGGCACCAAATCCTGAGGGAGGAGCTCAGCTTTGGGGTGAGGGGCCAGCTGGAAATGAGATGCCAAACATGGCGGATAATGGCAGAGGTGAGGATGAGGAGAGGAGCAGTGCAGCGCAAAGCAGAAGATGTGGTTCTCTTCAAATAGCAAACTGGAGATGCTGCCGTCTGCACGGACTGAGGCGACGAATATGGAGGTCTGTTTGGCTTGTATGGACCGAAGCTTACCAAACTAACCAAAGTGCACCAAAAGGAAAACTTATTTGATTTTTAAATCTTGTAAATAATTTGTCTGATATGTGAATTTACTTCTCTCACAACATGAAACGCTTTTGTATTATAATGAATTTTAATCAGACATCGTCCAACTTGCAAAAACACAAGTAGCTTGACGTTACGGCGCTGGACCTTCAACAAGCAAATAGTTTGGTTCAAAAAGAAAACCTCATCTGTAGCCTATTGATTGTGTTCACATTTATATGTACACATAATGTTCTGCATTTATTCAGGAAGCTACTGACTGCATATATACATTTTTTGGAAAGAAAACTAATAAAATGTTGTATATTTTCTAAATATTGGACTCAGGAGGTTCCAGAAAATGTCTCACTGTGATGTTTTAGGACTGTGTTCATGTTCCTGTTTGCTATGTTTAATGCTATCTCATAGAAATGTGTGTTTAGGGTTGTTTTTTTCCATTTCTGTTGCAGGTTCATCTCCATATGCAACCTGGAAGTCGAGGTTTGTTTGAGAACGGGAGGCTTAAAGCAATCCTTTGGCTGTGTAAATATGTATTATTCTTACTTTTTGAAGCCCTTTAAAACACTCATCTGGTGACTTGTTTTGATATTTCATACCTTTCTTATGGCCTGGTGAGTTCATAGGTGGTGGAGTCACAGTGGTTTCAGATGGCTTCTCTCTTTGTACCAAACTATTTGCCTGATAAAGACTTTGCACCAGAACATCGCGCTAATAAATGTATTTTTTGCAGAAACAGACATTGTGCAGGACTGGAGCTGTTGGATCCCTCTCCTACACACCTGCCTCATGAAACAGATGCACCAGAAGTTCCTTTGTTTTAATAATATAATGAATTTCAGACTCTTGCACAACGTCTGACCTGCAAAATTACATTTATTGGTGCAAAGTTTTGGACCTTTTCTAGGAAAGTAGTTTGGTACAAAGAGAAAAACCAAGCCTTTTGATTGTGTTCACTTATATACGTACACATATTACAAACATTCTGAAAGCTTAGATATTCACTGTACATATCTATTTTTTTTTTAAAGAAAGCTGCATTTTTCTACATATTGGACTGGGGAGAGTCTTTAGAAAATGTATTACTGTAGGGTTAACTAACCTAACTGGTATAACTGATCTTCATCTTTCCTCTTTGCTGTGTTTAATGTCATCTCGTAGATATTTTTTGTGTTTTTTGGGGGTAATTCTTGATCGTAATTGCAGATTAATCTACATATGCAACCTGTAAGCACAAGTTTTATTGTAAATTTAGAGGCTTTAATCATCCTTGTCCTCAGATTTTGGCTGAGTAAATCATTTTTTGATATATTTTTGATTCATATTTTCTGCACACGACTGAAAACAGCCATTTGGTGTTTCGTTTTGATATTTCGTACCCTTCTATGGTATGTGGAGTGTATTCACTGGCAGACCTTTAAGATGAAGGATGTTTTCTTTGTACCAAACTATTTGCCTGATTAACATCTAGCACCAAAACACTGCACTAATAAGTGTTCATTTTTGCAATAAATATATATGTTTTTAATCATATTTTCGGTTCTCATCATCGACTTTTCGGACTTGTGCAACATCTGTTTATGGTTTAGGTCCAGATTTATGCAGAATTATCCAAAATTAAAAAGAATTCCTGAACTTGAAAGCAGCACTATTGGGATTTATTGAATGTTTTCAGTACGTCCCTTTGTTTTAATATCATAATGCTTCAAATAAAAAAAATACTTGATGCAGTATAAAACACTCCAGATTTGTCATACCACTCACTTTCAGGCATGACTTTACAAACAACGCGGCACCACAGCAGCATAGGTCAACTTCACAGCGTTGTTACAGGCACCTCGTGTCTGTCCGTCAGCGTCGGACAGATTTAGTGGGAATTTTCCAAACGAACTCCAGCGAGGACGTGGCCCTCTGCAGGGTTAAATGTGGCCACTTCGGCTGCTGTTACTTTCCAGGAAGTGGAGTGAGCGTTATATAATCTAAATGTTTTGTGCACAGAGTGTGTTTGTCAGTTTATTCTTGAGGGGATTGCTGCCAAAGGTTATCGGTACCACAAAAGCTGATGTTAAATGAAGTGTTCTCGCTTCAAATGAGCCATCAACCGTTAAATAAAAAAGAGAGACATGTGATGTTTTATAACAACAATTATTCACTTGGATTGGATGAACCGTACAGATGTTGAATAGGAAAACATCTGCTCATCCAGTGGCGGCGGCGGCGGCGCATCGTTTCCTTACCTCCAAGACCAGGCCGCAGACGGTTGTCATATCCATCCAACAGGCTGTCCAGGATGCGAGTGAACAGGGTGATGTTGGTTTTAAAGGCATCAGATGTGGTGTCGGCATTCACTGATCTAGTCGGCAGACACACGATAACAACATGACCAGCTGAGGGACACTTGAACAAAACAGAAATCTGATTACGCTTTCAATGCATTTTGATTCAGACGCTCGATTTATGGAAAGCAAAGCGGTCATTGTTATCTGGAGGAGACGCCATACATGCCCACACACACACACACACACACACACACGCGTCGTTCCTCATCCACATGGATGACCCAGTTCAAGGCAGAACATTTGAAAGCCATCTGATCTTGGAGCCAAAACACAACTGAATATGCAAATGTAATCAGGGCAGAGATTCATGGTAAATAAATTCAGATAAGGTCCTGCATTAAAGCTCGACTTCATCACCGCCGTCGACAGCTCTGGTGTAACAGCCTCAGGTTGTGGATATGTTTCACTTTAGGCAGTCAGTGGGAAAGTAAATACAAAAATAATGTATATATATTTTGTATGTCTGTCTGGACCAAATTCCTTTAAATGGCATCACAGAAACTGTTGGATGAATGTTTTTATTATTACTTATTGGTATTACAACCTACAGAACTAGAAACATTTCACGTCTTGTTTTCATATTACGCTTAGTTTACTTATTGTAGCTCAATACTTTGCCTCATTTAAAAATCACATTTCAGAGCAACGTAATGCTGCAAATTATTAGACTCTGGCAGCATTGCATCAAAAAGAGCATCAATTATATCAGCAAGAAATCTGCATTAGCATGTGAAGGAAACCTCGTTTTAACCAATTTGTAGCTTAAACTTTCAAAAGCATTCACAACTATAAGTTATTTCTTTGTCATCAGCCTTCATCTATGAAACAGAGGAGATCAGAGCATCTGATTCACTACACAGTTTCAAATAAAACCTAAATATTATCTTTTTAATTTGCATTGCATTTATGAAGTTCTTACATAGTTTTGTGTAATTTATTGGATTTTTTTAATGTATAATTTTTGGGGAATTTCTTTGTTTATTTTTGCAGAGAAAGAGCACAATTAAAAGTAAGCGTTAGCTAGCAGCTAATCAGTACAAAAAAAAAGAAAACAACCACAAAACAATAAATACAAGACTTAAAACAATACAAAACTTTAAAGTCCATCAGCGCTAGATAATGAACAAAATCAGTACATACAACAAATAAAAGATAATCACTGCCACTTCATTATCTTATGTTTTATTACTATTCTTTTATATTTATTTTAGTTTTTATTTTTCCCTTACTTTTATTCTCTTTGTGATGTAAAGCCCCTTGCGTTGCACTTGCTGTATAAACTGCGATATACAAATAAAGGTATCATTATTACTGTTAATTGTTTTGTGCTAACATTAGCATGCTAGCGTGTGGGGCTACGAGCTAGTTACAGCTACTACTCAGCAACAATGTGGTTTTCTGAACCCCAAAAGCAATAAAATGATTTTTTTTCTCAACTATATTGTGTTTAAGCCTTATTTTACACATCTTGTATCATTCTTGCTGTAAAGCCGAAGACACTTGAAGAAAAAGATTTCTGCTAGCTTGGTGAAATGAAGTCGAAGAAACTAGCAGCAAAATTGCTGTTTTTTGTCTGTTTTGTAAAAAAATACATTTTTAAAAAATCAATACAGGTGATTTAGCTAAATCAAGAATGCTTAAAATCCTTAAAGGCAAGTTTCGCCACTCGATAGCCATCTTGCTAACGTCTCCATTTAAGGCTAGCATGATCAGACTCCTATCTAAGTGAATCGGTAGAGTCATAACTGCTATTTCAGTGGTTGCAGGGACACAAAAACTGATTGTTTTAATAAAATTATCAGTCAAATTTGATTAAAACTGCTTAAAAAGTTTGCTGCACAAGGTTACAGGTTACATTTGTAGTACGCCGTTTCACAAAACCATGCTAGCATAACTGCAACAACACGATTGGCCGGATGCTTCCTGGTTTAGCTCTTACGGAGCAGACGATTGGCTGTTTAAGGAGAGAGGCGGGACATGTGCCACACGACCGCCATCTTTGGGAATTCTTCCATAGATTTCTATTCAGGATTGTTTTTTCACATAGCTTTGATTTTTTCAGCTTTTAAGTCGTACTCTCTCTTTTAAGACGTAGCCACATTAAATGTACACAGATGCAAATAAGCGTAATAGTTCACATCTACTGACTGCGTAGACTATTTGGGATAAAGCTACTTAGCGACCATTAGCTGCTACCGGTGAATAAATGCTAATGGGGTGATCACGACTCAAAAAGTGGAAGCTATGTTTGATATAAATAAGTTATTTCCTCTATATTGGTAGTTTACATTAAAAGGCACTTTCTATGCTGAAAGATCACCTAAAATATGAACAGAAGTCGCATCTATTTTTACATTTACAGCTTGAATCTCCACTCCGCTCACATGCCTGATTTAGCCCGTTTCATTGGTCATATTGCAGCAGCGTTGCAGCATTCGTTCTGTCAACAGTCTGTTTACGTAATGTCTCTGAAACGACATCTTACTTTGTTAGATTTACTTGTCAGAAACTACTACAGGCCTCGTGTGGAGTGACTAGCCTCGTAGCCACGCGCTAATGCTAACTGGAGGTTTATCTTCCCATTATGTAGATGCTTTTAATTTATGCTCAAATGCAATGTTTAATTATCATGTTAGTTTACTTCTTATTTCAGCTCATTTAACTTATTTCCAGCAATGTAGCACACTTGAATCTTATTGCTTTCCTACAGGGCACTGTACTGTCTGTCGTTTCTCCTGTAATTTTGTTTTATGAGCAATATCTGGCAAAATAATAAAGTTTTTTTTCTAACTTATGTGTTTTTTTTTGTCGAAAAAGCACAAATGTCACCAACAACGACTCCATTATATGTTGTGTACCTATAAGCCATGACAGTGTGACAATGACAATAAACCAACATGAACAAAACCAAGACCCTGACACTGAAGCAGCCAAATTAAATGAATTTATTGTCCAGTATTGTTGATTTAATGATGCTTTTTCTATTAACGCCACCAAAGCCAAACGATCAGCAGTCTACAGGCCATAAGATGGAAGATTTGTTTGCCCCAGTCAAGTTTTTTCTTTTTTTCTAATCTGCAGGCCTGTAAGTGGGATCCTGGAGCCCCGGAGGGGAATTCAGTGGCCTTATTTAAATCGCCTCTCGTGCCTCTGACACTGCCTGCTTTTTTTTTTTTTCTTTTTTTCTTTTGTCTACAGTCCCCCTGGTGTAAGCAGCTGGATGACCTGATCTGTCACTCTGGCCCATATCAAGAGACACCTTCACACCTGATGTGATAATGTGAGATGTCCTCGGATAAGACAGCATGCAGCCTTGGTAAAAAACAAAAGGTGCAGGGGTAGACACATTTCCACACGAGATTCTTTAAAGGAAACAGCATTTAGTCACCAGTCTGGGCCCATTTTCTGATTAAAAAGGGGACGATTTGATGACAATAAAATTAACTTAAATAGTAGAAAGCATCAAAATTAAAGACTAGGCCACTATTTTAGCTGCGATAATCTAATTCCCCCCACATGCCCTGCAGGCTATTTTTATGGCCGGACTGACCCTCCTGATTATCTACAGAGACCTGCAGCAGGTTTCCCTCCACCTCCCTCCCTCCAGAGACAAAGTGTGTGATCCAGGGTTTATGTAGGCTATAGTGGCTTTGAGGCGTCTTCCAAAATGAAAAAAAAAAAAAGAGGGAGAGGGAGACTCACCTGGTTTTCCAGAGAGCTGTGAGCGCCAGCAGGCAGACGAGAAGTAAAGAAGCGCTCTCTCTGCTCCACATGGCTGCTTCGACACCTACACACAGCTGGAATGAATGGAGGGCTCAGGTTTAACCGGCTTCACACGCAACCTGGATTCATATGTGACACCTATACGGGCATTATTTATAACACTGATTTCTGGGGGAGTCCCTTCAAGCACGCAGTCAATAAATAAAAAAAAAATTAAAAAGGAGGAGGAGGAGGAGGAGGAGGATGGGGATGATGATGAAGAGGCTGATAGTAATTAGTATTCGCTGACACGTCTCACTGACAAAAAAAAAATGATGATGATGAGCACTGGGAATTAAAAAATAAAAGAAAAAGGCAGTAGTAATAATAAAACAACAGGCTGTGACAAGGAATATGGAAGAGGGATGGAGCTCCTCTCCCACGCGTCCCCGAGCATCTCCTCCTCCGATTAGATCCTCAGTAATGACAGAATTTTTAAAAAAATAAGCGTCTCCTTTGTGTCTGAGAGGCAGGAGGATGACAAAAAAACACACTCACCTCAAGTGCACAAAGTACCTGCTGCAGCTGGAATCGTCGAAGATGCTGGAGAAAGTTAAGGAGGATTCACGGCTGCTCGCTCCTGTTTCGGCGCGACTGAACGAGCGCAAGTCAGTCATGAGAACAAAGCTGATAAATCATAGTCCCAGCCAGCAGCAGCAGCAGCAGCAGCAGCAGGAATGCACCCGGAATGCATTGGCTCTCATGTAGTGTCCCAAAATATTAAGAGAGAGAAGAAGAAAAAAAAAAAAGAAGAAAAATGCCAACCGAATGGAGAGAAACGCATTCAGGGGAAGAAAAAAAAAGAGAAGATTTGGGTAGAGAGGAGCTGATCCTTCAAATTGCTCCGTTCAGCAGCATCCTCAGCTGGTGGAAGCTCGATGTGAATCGTGATAAGCAAGAAGCACATCTCAGTCTCCCCTCATCTCCACACACACACACACACACACACTCAAAAAAAAAAAAACTACAAAGGCTGAGGAAGGAGACGCACTGGGTCCTAAAGGCAGTTTGCTGTTACGCACAGAGCCTTGCGCCTTCCTGCAGCCCAGACCTTGGAATGTGAGCAAGATGCTGCTGCTGCTGCTGTTTGCGCTCATGGTCCATACTTAGTGGCTTATTGATTAAGCAAAATGTAAGAGGAGTCACTGCTCTGGTGGAAGTGTTTGGGAACTGAGTGGTGTCTGGTTAACCATTTTTTAATGCAAGCTCTGGTATTGGTGCACATCAGAGCTTCTTCATTTGAAGTATTTGGATCTGTGTATTTACTGGAATGTCTTGAACACTGAGTCATAACTTTGAATCCATGACTTGCAAACTCTAGAACACATTACTGACCTAAAGTGAGGCTTAAATCGTCAAGAATCACATATTCTTGCAGTTATGTTGCTCTGTTGTCTCCTCGTTTGCTGCTGAAATGTAAAGAAAATAGTGAAAAAGAGGAGTCACTGCTCTGATGGAAGTGTTTGGGAAGTGAATGTCTGGTTCACCATTTTTATTCAAACTTTGATATGTGTGTACACCAGACATTTTAAGTATTTGGATCTGTGTATTTGCTGGAATGGTGATGACTGATTCATTCACTTTTCTTTGGGTGACCCAGTAGACTTCGTCTTGCAAACTCTGAGACACTTTACGGTCTTAAAAATTCAGCTTAAATCATCAAGAATTAAAAAAAAAAAAAAATGCTGATCAACTCTCTCGCCTTTAAAAAAAAATGAAAGAAAATGGTAAAATATTGATCTGAGGTACAGAATCATAAAAACCCAGCAGGTTGTACCTGAAGTTTAAATCAGGCTTAAATCTTCAAGAATCAAAACTGCTCAGTTGTTTCCTTGTTTGTGGCTGAAATGTAAAGAAAATAGCAGGTTTTGAAAAAGGGAATAACTGCTCTGTTGGAAATGGTTTGGAATTGAGTGTCTGGGTAACCATTTATTGATATTTGCTCACCACAGTTTCTTCATTTTCACAATAAAAACTAAAGCATTTGGATCTGTGTATTTACTGGAATGGTAAAGTCCTGAGCACTGAGTAAAGACTTTTCTTAGGGTATCTTTACTTGCAAACTCTAGGACATATTACTGTCATAAAATGAAGCTTAAATCTTCAACAATCACATATTCTTGCAGTTTTATTGCTCAGTTGACTCCCTGGTTGCTCACCATGTGTGCTCACCAGAGCTTCTTTGTTTTCATAATAGGGAAACTGAAGCATTTGGATCTGTGTATTTACTGGAATGGTAAAGTCCTGAACACTGATTAATGCCTTTGTTTCAGGTGAAATTATTTCTAAACTCTGGGACACATTACTGCAGAAAACTGTTAAGAAGCTCAGTACCTGACCACATGTAGACCTTCTGCATAGAGAGTCTGGCTTGAACGACACTATTTCCCTTGTCCATTTACTTTATTCAGTACTTTTTAAAGTTTACTTGTCTGATTTAAGCAAGCAGCCTGTTCAAGAACACATTAAGTCTGCAGAAGTCATCACCTGAGGTTCTTCCTTGTGGAGGCCATCTTGTCCTGGAGGTCAAAGGGGAGGCGCCACTAAAGCAGCTCTTTCATAGGTTCCCTGAGTTAGGCGGGATCTCAGGTGTGGTTGGATTTTGGATGCGTCCTGATTGGCCAAGTTAAGCTGGAAGGCAAGCCCTGGCCTGTATGGGTGAGTGTACTGGGAGAGGAATGATTTGTTCAGAAAAATGCAGCACTGTCCAATGCAAGGTGTGAAAGTTGGTTTTCTTTTTTCCAGTTCCAGTTGGAGACACTGTTAGAGAAAACTTTAACCGGATGAAAGGACTTTACAAACGATGGATGCGACCCAGCCATGATGGAGAAACCATCATCTTGGAGCAATGCCTCCGTGTGCTCCATCCAAATATCCACACCTGGGTAAAAGCACACAATCCCCAGACGGGCAGGAAGCTGCAGATCTGACTGAACGCTGCACAGCTGCTCACCGGCATCCTTCAAAACCAAAGGTGACGGTGGGAAAGCAAAGGAGATGGCAAACCTCACGGCCATCCAGGTGTAGACAATATGAACCCTGAGTGTAGTAAGAAACCTGTACATTCAAAATCAAGACTGAACTTTGACTGTCAGCTGCTGGTCACAAGACTTCATCAGGCTCTTTGAGAAAGGGAGTGTTGGATGTCACCATTGATGGTAATGTGGTAAAGGCACTAGCTGACATGGGTAGTTCACAAACCTTGGTAAAGTCCACATTGCTCAGTAAAATGCTGACCAACTTTGACAGAAATGTGAACATCACTTGTGTTCATGGTTGCAGGAAAGTTTACCCAAGTGCAGTTGTGACCGTTAAAGATCAAACTGGAGTCGTAGCTCAGTTAGCTTATGATTGATAATGTGATTCTTGTCCATCCTTGACAACTTAGTTCACCAAAACTCAGTAGCTTGTTCCCGTGCTGTAGTTAAACACTCTGTGACCAAGAGACTAGATCAACTACCAGATGACAGTTTGTATGAAGTCAAGAAAACAAAGTGTAGACAAGAGAAAAACTACAATTATTATAAAGTTAAATCTTCTGACTCACTCTTAGACCCTGAGTGGCTGATCCCAGACAATTTCTTGGGAAAGGCAGGAGAGTGATTCATCCCTAAAACCCCTCCTTGTGACAAACATCTTAAAGAATCACACATTCTTGGACGTTATCTGCTTGGTTGTCTTCCTGTTTGCTGCTGAAATGTAAAGAAAATGGCAGAATATTGATTTTGAGGTCCAGTATCACAAAAATGTACTTTAGAGTGACGCAGTCGGCTGAATCATGCAAACTGTGGGACACATTACTGTCTTAAAATTAATCTCCAAGAATTGCAGATTCTTGCAGGTTGCCTGCTTGGTTGTTGCCACTAAAATAACAATATTGAAATAGGGAGTCGCTGCTCTGATGGAGACGTTTGGGAACCGAGTGTCTGGGTCACCATTTTTGTGCAAGCTTTGCTATTTGTGAACACCTGAGCTTCTTTATTTGAAGTGTTTGGATCTGTGTATTTACTGGAATGGATACAGGCTCGGACTCTGATTAATTATTTAGTTTAGGGTGAAATTACTGGCAAACTATGGGATACAGTGCTTTTCAAAATTAAGCCTAAATCTTGTAGAATCACACGTTCTTGCAGGTTAACTGCTGTGTCTCCCTGGTTGCTGCTGAAATTGAACACAAATGGCAAACTGTTGATTTTGAGGTACAGTATCACAAAAAATAAAAACCCTATCCAATGAATTCTCTTTCTTTTCTTTTAAAAATCAGGGTGTTTTCTTTGTGCTCATGTGTGCGTCTGTGTGTGGGAGACGGAGAATGGATGTCCCTCTTGACACGGTGCTGTTGCTAGGACTGCGTGTTGTGGTAGAAATAGCCACTTTTTTCTATCATGGAGTCACACGCTGGATTTCTGTGTCACCTCCAATCAGAAAGTCACAAACAAAAAAACAAAACTGTTACTTTAATGCAGAGTTTTTCTTCTGGATTGTGCCACATGAGGCTTTGGGAGCTGTTTTTTTAGCATCACATGCGGCACAGAAACGCCTTTTTAACGACTGTTTTATGTGTAACTACAGCTTTAAATAAAGGCCAGTATGCAAGTCACTGTTAGTGTATGAGTTTAAGTTGTCAAACAGAGGCAGCAAACCAATAAAGATGCCATTACAAATAGGCGTCCTTTACAGTATTATCCATAAATTCAATAACACATTGCTTTGGTGGTAAAAGCAAGTCTTATTTTTATCTTTACTGCTATACTGTATTGACACTTTTTATATTCTACCAGCAGCATTTGAGGTCTTCTACACCTTAACTGCACCTTGTTCTTCTTGCATGTACCATGTGGGAGCTTCTGGACACCTTGAAAGTAACTGTCCTGACCAAACCTTATGTGAACATTTAAATATCCTTAATCTAGAAATTAGAGAAAATGAGGCAGTAAATAACCAAAAATAGCCAAAAAGGGCAGCGATCCCATATGTTCACTGCATGACATCTGGTTTTGGGTACCTTTGG